GGGCAGCCGCGGCTGTGCGTGGAAGGTGCCTGGTGCTGTGTACGCCTTTCTGAGGAGGGACGGCCGCTCGGCCCGAGGATGGGGGGGCCGCGAGTGTGGGTGTCATGAGGGTCTTCCTTCAGTGTTGGAGGGGCCTGGGCCCTGCTTCCGACGCCTCAGGGACTTGCCCGTCGGACTGCCCCGGTGCGGTACCAGCTGCCTGGGCCTGATCTTCGCCGCGGACACCGCGCGTTTTGCAGTGCAGATAATCTGCAATAGTGGCGGTAGCTATGCTGCGAAAATTGTTTCGAAAATGGTCGTAGCTGTGTGTCTTTCCGCATTTGTGGGTCTGTGTTCGTATATGCAGCTTAAAAACACCATAAGCTTTATTCTTGTTTCTCTGTTCCTTTTCTTTCGATGTTAGGGAGTGTTGTGCAACAACAGCTTAATAAGGTCTTTGCCCTTTATATTTCTAAAGGTAGAAGATGGCTAAATGCTTGAAAAAGCCCTTCAAGGACAGTCTGAATGATATAAAAGAACGAATGAAAGAGAAAAGAAATCAGAAATGGACACGGTTGGGAAAAATTAGCCAGATCTCCACTGTAAAGTGCAAAATAGCAAGTAAGATACTTAAATATCTTAATAGTTTTCATAATTTATTTTTTAAAACAGTTTTTAAATACTTATTCTTCTGTTACAGCCAACAGCTCCATGCAAATGAAGAGCATCCAAGCAAACAACAGAGCTCTAGCTCAGGCATTGCAAGAAGAAAAGCTCAAACTGAGGGATGCCCAGGCTACCATTCTTCATTTAACAAAAGACTATCAAGACCTGAAGGTTCAAATGTTTGACTTGCGAAGAAATCTTGTGTTCAAGCAAGCACAAGGACTTGTTGAGGTATTTTTATTAATAACTTTATGACTTAGTGACTTTATGAAGCTGAACATCAGAATCTGCACCAATCTACTGATATCTTCAGATCTTAAATGTTTCAGAAAAAATAACTCAATATATTGAACAAGTTTCCTCATCTTCTCTCCTTTTCTGGTCGTTAACTAAATATTTTTTCCTGGCTACTCTTTCATCTGTAATAAAAGCCTGTCTTCTGTGATTTGATATTTTTGATACCTAACACAGGTATCTTCAGGATTTAATCATCTCGCAATACTAGTGAGAGGTTATTACATTGCTTCCTGATACTAGAGTATGACAACAACGTTATTTTCCTTCTTTTGTCTATTAGACTCGACTGTCAGCTTTGAATGAGATAATTTCAAAAGTTTCTCAGAATTTGCTGAACTCAATTGATCTCCTTGGCTCTGCAAAGAAGTTGTGCTACACAGATGCAGTAAGTACCTTTTCCTCTTGGGGAACAGGACTTCTGTTAATTCTTTCCCCTTACTCCTTCCAGCATAGATGCACACAGGTTTTGAGCCTTAGTTTGGAGGTATGACTAGTTCCACAGCTCCCAGTATGACATAAGGTCTCACTGTGGGGGCGTGTAGTAGGTTGTTAGTGGGACTGAGGCCCTGTTATGAGGTGGTAGGGGTACCCTGGTTTTTTATGGTTTTGTGTCTTGTTCCCCATATCATCCTTACAGTTCCTCTCCCATTCACTCTATATATAATTTGGCTGGTGATGAATGTGCTAACTTCCAGGATCTGAGTATGTGAGTTCCCACAGCATTTTGTGGTATCAAAAGCCAGAAAGAAAGAGTCAAGGGCCTCTTTGGTCCTTCTGTAGGTAACTTGGCTTTAATCTAAAATTTGTATATGGTGTAAGCTTTTTTTCAGGTATTTAGTCACAGTAAAATTTAATTTGTTGACAGAATCGGAGGGTGCTTTCGTCAGTTTTTGAAAATACTTCCAATGTCACAGGACAAATGCATTCAGTGTAAGTATCTTTTGTTAATAGTTAATACCATATATATATATATATATATGTATGAAAATTCTGTTACATTTAATTTTCTGACAGGAAAAAGGGTAGAAATTTAATGTAATGAAATAGTTCATTGTCATAAAATATATCACTATTCAGTAAATGCTACCTTTGGTGTTTTCTCTAGAGGACCTTTACAGTGTGCTGATGGAGATGATAGAGTACCTCCAAGTGGGATGGTAGCTGATCATGATAAAAACAAGTTGGCTCATTCTGTGTCCGAGATCTGTGAGGAGTCTGACAAATCCACTTCCTTAATCAAAATAGTTCCAGACAAAGGTAACTAAATCAAAGTATCAGACACTGGTGTATTCTGAATCAGGAAAAAAATGTGTGAGCATAAGTTTAAAATGCAATTACTGCTTTTGAGTAACTTGTCAAGTAACTTTCTACTTTTTAATCATAAAAGCTTGATATTAATGTTGGTAACTGGTAATTTTTTTTTAAATAAAGATGCCAGGAAAATGGGGAAGGAACTTGAAAATGCTTTGTTTTCTGTATATCTGCAATCTAGTTTCATCATCTACTGTGCAGTTCAACAGAGTAAATTCGTTTTTAGTCGTACATTATCACTTATGAAATCAACAACTGTTAAAGCAAAATACTCAGAAAAATAAATAACCTGTGGATAACATTTTCAAACAGAACAGTTTAGAGGACAATCCTAATGTAGTACCCTTAACTGCTTTCTCTCTAGAAGCTGTATTAAACAGAATTTATCTTGATTGCAGTATACTGGTTTATACAAATCTGTGAAGAAAATTGTAACCTGTCTTAATTTTCGAGTTCCAAATTTGCACAAAACTTTTCCAGCTTGTCAGTATTTAGCTTTAATATGACTTTCTCTTCAATTACAAGGCCAAACATCTGATTTTCATCTGGACAACACAGGGTCAGAAATGGAAAATGTTTCCTCAAGTGGAGAGGATGGATTTGGTAATGTGTTACCAAAAAGTGTGAGCACCAGGTGTCGCTATTCAAAGATGAGAAATCATGGTGAACTTTGCATTAGTGTCTCAGACAATTCAGAAGCACCTGATTCAACAAGAGAACTTTCTAAACCAGATGAGAGTAGACTTGAGGAAAGTCTAAAGAAGTATACTGTAGAAAATATAAATTCAGATATTTCTCAGTTGAATGAAACCAAGATAGTGTTGGAGCAGATAGATTCTGAAACTGCACGGCTCAACTTAAACAGTAATTCTGATCTTAAACGTGAGCATAAAAGCAAAGACTCTCAAGTAAGAAAAAAGCATCAGCAGGGAAAACTGGAATGCTCTAAAAATACTTCCAGACACAAATCAAAAAAAGGACAAGGTAAAGAGGCATCCAAAGAGAAGTTGGATTTGTTGGGGGGCTCCAGTGATGCTTACAACTTTCATTTTGAAGAGCGTGTCCATGTTACGCCTTTTCGACAACATAAGGTGAATGACACAGATACTGGGGTGGATGATGAAGACAATGTAGCTGAAACAAATACCATCGAGTTGAGTGATAATGAAGAAGATTCAGATGATGAGCTCTATGAACCTTACAAGAGTAAACCAAAAAAAAGGAAAAGTTCAGTGGACAAGACAGAAACATCACCAGTCCACATAAGGCCAAGGTCTAAAAGATGCTTGGCACAGCGTGAGCAGAAACTCCACAATGAAAATGAGAATGAAAGCAATAAGTCAAGTGACAAGTCTATTCGTAAGTGCAAGAAGTACCCTGTAATTGTTCGGTTTTGTTTGTTTGTTTTTTGAGAGATAACATTTTTTTAATGGATTTAGGCTTTTAAAATTTAATCTTTTTTAATAAATACAAAGAATAATGTTACATAAATTGTAAGTATCATTCTTCTGTCCCACCTTTTTTTTCCTCTCAGTGGAAATTGGCATCAAAGATATATTTTAAGAAACTGGGTCAACAATACTGTATTTTAGATGTGTTTAAAGGCATATTAAAGCTGAGGAAAAAGAGGAGAACATGAGCATGAATTTGAGAGAAGTGGAATAACAGATCACACTCTGCCTGGCACTGCTTAATGTTAACTTATTTTTTCAAATCAAAATCCGGAATACGTTTTGATCCTCTTACATACATACTCTTAAGTGGAAAGATGAAGGTAATAGTTACGCTGAGAGTTACTTCACATGTAGTACATTCACTGACATTCACTTTTAAGCTAGCTTGCCTGAATTGTCTTGAGTGTACCTAATTTTTTCCCAGGACAGCCTTCTGAGCCATCTCGTGGTCATCTTTGTGATGTTACCAATACCACTTCATTGCTTCCCAGCACTGAGAATGCACCTGTTGCTCCAGAATGTGATGTACCACAATCCCCAAAACGCAAGCGAAGCTGTACTCTTACTGTGAACTATAAAGAACCAAGTATTGCAGGGTAGGTGTATTACTTTCTAATTTGATAATGAAGTTCATGATACTCCATCAAATGGAGGATTTGAGGGGATTATTTAAATACTAGAAATAAAAATAAGTTCTTAACAAAACATTCAAAGAGAGGTCCGATGTCAGTAATACAACATAATTCATATGGTATTGAACTTACTAGCTGAAAGTTAATGTTTTAAGTGAGGTGAAGGACAAAACTAATTTTGCCTCTTTTATTATTTTACAGGAAACTCAGGAGAGGAGATCCATTTACAGATACAAATTTTCTGAATTCTCCAATTTTCAAGGAGAAAAAAGATGCTAAACGCCGTTCTCTTAAGAAAACATCTCCATCAAAATACAATGAGAAATTTGTTGGTTGTTGTTGAGATTCAGTCATGATACCAAAACCATGCTCACTCCACAAAGAAAGGAAACCTTTCATCCAGGAAATTGTTGCACAATATCTTACGCAAATATACAATCATTTCAATGTTTCTAATACTATGGATATACAATTAAGGTGTTTTTTTTTTTAAAACCAGTGACTTGTGTTTAATGATACAGAAGACACAAGACTCTCGAGAGCTTGTCTATCATCATGGATCTGTGAGTATATTGGCAGTATCTGATGGGAGAGATGGTGAATGTGATTTTATTACTTCTACCCTGCTTGATCTCACAGTGGTTGGCAAAAAGTGAACTTTAGGCACTTGAGCAAATGCTTTTGCTTGTTTGGGTGGTTTGGGGTTTTTTTAATAACTTTTGTACAGATCTTGCTTATGTAAGTTGTAGTTATGTTGGTTGTAGTTTCATATTGAAGCTAATAATAAACATCTTTGCTCTTGAAAACAGCTCAGTTTATTCTGTTCTTGCATGGTTTCCATAGTTGCTTCAAGGGTAGCAGCGTCAGCTGTGGGTATGCTGCAAGCCAGTGTATGCCTTTCCCCATTTCATGTAGCATAAACATTGTTTAGAACCAAGACTGGCAGCTGTAATTTGATTATGTAGCTATAGCTCTTGAAAGTTGCAAATAGGATTAGTTGATACTGCTATGAATGTGAGTTAAACTTAATTAACTTAATCAGAAACAAAGAAAGTAAATTTTATCTGTCAAAGCTGTGAAGAGGGCTCTGGTGGGAGTGTACAGTAAACTGCTATTATGGGACTTAATAAATAAAGGCACTTGCAAAGCAAAGCCAGAATTATCAGAGGAAGATCTAGTACCATTGGTACAATAGGTAATATGCTAGAACACGCTTATAAAGTGTCCAGCAAGTTTTCAAGTTTGCAGGGCACTCAAATTAGCTTTTCTTTACTTGAGAAACATTTAGTTATTAGTAGATATGTGAATACAGAGGGGAAAGCTACCTTCAAAATAAATAATGGAAAAGTATAAAAATACAGGTTCTTTGCAAGATTGCCTGTCCTACTTCAGGGCTAAATCTTACACAAAATGGGTGTACCATCTGAGTAGTGCCTTTGTGATAAGTACAAGCTCAGCATCGACAGTAGTCTTCTCTTGTGTATATTGTGGCTTCTGAATAAAGGACTCAACCGACAAAAATGAGGGGGGGGGAAAGCATGAGCCTGCTTTGAGATGAAAAGTGAAAACTTAAGAATAGCTAAGTCTAAGAATTGTTTCAGATGTTGAAGAGATTGGAGAAACACCACTGTAGCTCAGTGCTCACTGTATGGAGCTAGGAATACTACTTGTAGTGGTCACAGCTTTCTACACTGAAATCCCAGCTCAGCTTAGTGCACACCATGCCCCCTGGGAACTTGGAGGCGTTTTTGCATATTTTCCAGTGTATCTGGAAGATGCACTGATTGCAGTCTTGTAGCTTCACTCTGCCCAGTTGTGAAACTGTTTCAGTGTGTATACTTGTAGTGCAGGAACTAACAAACGAAAAAAAGAGACCAAAATAAAGGAGGGTTTTGTACATATATAATTTAAAACTATTCTGTACCAATACAATATATTAATTTTACAAATGTAAAGTTCATCAGCTGTTAAAGCATTTGCAAAACCACATATCCTACTGTAACTTTATTGCACAGTATCTATGAAAATATTAATTCTTAAATTAGAAAACAAATGTTTCAATATAGAAGAGACAATCTGATTGAAAGACAATAAGAAAATCTACTCTGAAAATAACAAAATTTCACAGGATACCAAGTTTAACAGGTGCATCTGTAGGCCCAATCTACAAAACAGGATTATAGCATCCAGTACTGGCTATTAAAAAAAATACTCACTGTACCTTTGTTATAGATCCAAATGTAGGTCAGACTAATCTCATACAAAACACTATGGCAAGTCTAGTGTTAACATTTTTAATACCTTGTGTACCACACTCACTACTTCCAGGTAGTTCCTGACACCTACTTGCTGAATCAACTTGTGATTTAACATTGCACAGGCATTTTGCAAGAATATATTCTTTGACACACCACACGACTGGGATTTTTTCAGTCTTAAAATTCTTGAATTTTACCAGTGTAACATCTGTAAATATAAAACACTAAGAATGAAAGTTAAATCTGTTTTTCACAAAAGCAAGTATAATTTACAGTTACAAACTCTAATTAGAAAATGTCAAGTGACAGCTTTTTTGGCCTGTACTGATCTCCATTAGGAAGTTAGATGTACCTCTTAAATGTAGTGTAAGCAGCAAAATATATATAGTATTTTATACATAAGTGCTCAATTTGACGATATACCAACATGAGTTGTAAAATGTTAATATGTTCCTGGGTCTAAATAATCACAGTTAATAAGCATTTATAATAAAGCTTGGTAGAAAATCCAGTTGACCACAGAGCCAAGTATGTAAGCTAGAAGCTGTCATATGTTGACTTCTTTTGTGTATAGTAGTTTTTATCTCTGCTGAATAATCTATAGAATTAATCAGTGGAGAGTATTAAATAGAGTAGATCATGAAGTGCATCAAAACCTTAACTCTACTAAGCCAATTGAAGTTGTCTAGTATATGCAAATTGGATTCTCTGAAGTTATTTTGGGTACTTATGTCCTGCATAAGCCAAGTCACTATGACATTACACATCTAGCCAGGTTTTTGGTTTTTTTAAATAGTGGTTATGAGATTTCAATTTGAAGGTAAAATATTTATCAAAACCCAAAATGAATAGAAAAACTTGCATCTATCAAAGATTACAGGCAGCTCCTTTTCAGAACTGGCTGCTCTTCTCTTACAGCTTCTCAACCAGCTGTTTCTTTTAAAAAATAATATCTTATAAAAAGACTCTACATAGAAACAAGTGTTTCAGAACGCCCCCAACTGTTGTTTTCCCTTACTGTTCTCTTTTTTTACTGAAAAGAAAAATAATAAAACTTTATCAAATAGGTACTGCATTAGGTAAGCTATAAGATCTGTTGCCTGGGAATTTTCTTCATATTCCCAAACATGTGCAATTTCCCACATGTTCTGTGGGGTTTCTGAGGCTGTAGCTGATAAACTTATGAACATACGGTAATGGGCACACAAAAGAAATTTTCCGGAATTAAATATATTATAAAGCATTTTAATAAAATAATTTTTCTAACTTCAGTATAATACACATTTGCAAAACTAAAAGGGTTTTTAAAAGTGCTAAGTATTTAACAGAAGTTTCTTGAAACCTTAAAGTCCCACAACTCAGATATCTAATGGCTTCCCCTGCCCGTAAAGCAGGCACACTGTTTGGTTGTAAAAGAGACAGTGTCACTTGTCAATTAATCCGGCTTCTTTAATTTTTGTGTAGAAGAATTTCTCCAGTATATTGGCACATTTGTAGTATTCACTCTCGGGGGGGTTGTACTCTCTGCAATTTGTAAAGACTCGCTGCAAGTCTGCCATGAATAATTTCTTAGACACGTAGTACCTATTCTTGAGTCGCTCACTCATTGTTTTGAGATCTGTACAGGAGAAAAATAGATTAGCAGTGTTTGATTCAAATACTTTTTGTATGCAATACCCCTTTGGACTGATTTGCCATTTAACATGAACTGACAATGCTAGGATTTGCAATTCCTAATTTCCTTCATCTAAGGCTCAGTCCCTTTTTTAGCTTCAACAACAATTGAGCCCCTGGAACTAAGCAATATTGCACAGTAAGAATTATTTTCTGTAGAGTTTACTTTTTTCTTCCTTAAAAGATGAAAGCATCATTCTTTTGTGTTCTCATACTTCTCTTGAATTTTCAGTCAGCATTAGGTGACATGCAAAGAATTTAAACATCACAAAACGTGTATGTTAACCTCAGACTCAAGATGTCTGTCTATACTGCAAACATTACTTGCAGCTTTGAAAAAGATTAAATGTGTTCTATACTACATAAACTTAATTACATCTTGAAAGTTTAAAAATATGTATCCCTTTTTAAAAGTCATATGAGAACAGATCTCTCCTGCTTTTAATGCATCATACAAAACCTTTGCTTACAGAACATTCTTTAAGAAATGCTTTCCTTTATACTAAAACCAGTCATCCATAAAATAAGTAAATCATCTCAGTGTTCTCAGACAGTCACATTCCCAGGAATTCTTATCAGGCATTTAAAAATTTCATCTACATTACAAGTGTTCAAGGAGTGAGTACAGGAATAGAGGCAGTGGGAGGTGTGCTGGATGCCGTGGCTTTTCTCACCTCAGATGCTCTAACAAATATTTTTTTAGCAATGCTTGAGCCAGGCTTCAGCAGCAGCACCTTTGTGAAGCAATAACAGAAGCATCTGAAATAAAGACAACTTACTGCCAGCACGTATTGCAAGGAAAGTAGAGACCAAAGACCTTCCTGGCAAAGGAATTACACCTTAAACCTTTAAATTTAAAAGTACACTTGTGGCTATTTTTGTTTTAGTTTTGATGTTTGGGGGTTTTCAGGGGGAGGTTTTGGGTTTTGTTTTGGTTTGTTTGTTTTTAGAGGATATTTGACTTCAGTAAAATAGAGAGAAACCCTGTCAAACTAACAAGAGGGGATTATTTAAGAAAAGTTTGATGGCTACTCTCAAATACCTCTTCCACTGATCAATAACTTGCCATTGACTAGTGTTGAACAGTATTTCTCAAACACACAAGCTCATTCAGCTTCCATTAAGTCTGAAATTTAGGTGCCTACACCTAAAGCAGCTACCCGTGGTCTAATTATATTATCCAGCTGAGAAGGCTGTTCAGCTCACCCTAAAGCCAACACTGCCTGGCTGGTCAGATAAACTGCTCTCCCCTAACTTCAGTGAAAGTTTGGCTCCATCTATCACTCAGCCATACAGCTTTTATACTACAGACAAAAAGGTAAAAACCCAAACAATACTTCTTGAAAATAAACAGCTGAAAAAGCACTAGAAACAGAGGCGGGGCAGGAGAGGGAAGCATTTATACATGAGA